GCAGGAATGGTGTATTTAAGCAGCAACAACAACAAAAAAACCCTAGCTTACCACATTTCTATTACTTTACCGCCTTTTGTGTGTCTACGTACACAAGCCCACAGTTGAAAAAACACAGCAGTAATACATTCAGGAGGAAATGTTTGTAATACTGGGTTTTTAACTCTGATTTTAGTTCTGGCATTAATCTGTAATTCATTCTTTCGAGCAGGGAAGCTGCAACTCTTTATCAGAGTTAAAGGTTTCTCAAATACCTCTCAGTTTTAGTCTAGCAATATCTGTCCATTCCCAGCTCTCTCATTACTTCAAAGTCTCTATACCACCTTTATGTACAAGACTGCCAAAATCATGAATGCTGGCAGACTTTACAAATGTGGTTGAAATTCCCAGTGGAGCATGTAAAAGCATTTTACAGAGGTTCAGTGTGAAATTAGATCTAAATTAAATTTTTTAAAGAGTCAAACTTGAGGGTAAGAGACTTATTTTATGTAATTACATAGAAGTCCTTAATATCAAATAGACTTATTTTGTGTGTAACCACCACAAATACACTAAATATTTTGTAGTATTAGAGATAGTTATGCTTTGTGAGCTCTAATACATTCCCCAAATAATCTGTCTACTACTCAAGAAGAATTACTTCTGCTCTACAGAATCAGAGGTTTTGCATGTAAGCACCCAGATGAAATCAACTGTAGTCCTGCATGCAGTTTATCCACAAACTAAACTTCACAGTACCTGGATGAAAATGTAGTATAGAAACAGAAGAAAGCCAAGTAGTTGTCAGAAGGAGTTACTAAGAAGTTTTGTTTTTCATCCGTAATAATTGGCAAAAATCCTGCTTGTTGCCAATAAAAATATTGGAAGTGCCTCAGTGTTTTGTGTGAAGAAAAAATTTTTTTGCATAGTTTAGACAGACAGACTTTTCAAATTTTTGTGGAACTCATTTGTTCTTCAGGAGCTTAATTTTGACTTAATAGTAGTCATAAATCATGAAATGAAAAGGGTAAGTTACGTAACAGTAGCAGATTTTGATCTATCTTGTATTTAGCATTCATTGCCATAGAAGTGTTTTATTTTGTAATATTAAATCAATAGCAGATCTCTGTAACCTGGAAAATCTTAGCATATGTAACCCTGTGATGTTCCTCTAAAGCTGGTAACACCTTAATTTTTCTTTCTGTATACTGCCTTTCTGTTGGGATTTATTATGCAACCAATGTATTTTTTGTAAAGTGTGTAATAGTCAATTTTAGATGAACCAGAAACAGAATGCTCAATAGCACCCTTCATAGCTCTCTCGCTGTTGTTTATTCTGTACTGGTTCAGTTATGTACCAATACTATAAATATTAGTGGAGGCCACAGTTAATTTTGAATGATGTGACTGCTGAATGGGAAATTACATTGGTTTGAATGATGCTTAATCTAATAGATACAAGCAGAGATTCATAAGCCCAATTTATTTTGAGATAAAAACGTACTTTTTAATAGGAGACAGATGACTACCGGTATTTTGACCCCAAGATGCTACGAGGCAGTGACAGGTGAGTTTACTATGAGTTTCACGTCTTTCCTTGTACCCTGTGAAAAGGCTAACTTAAGAAATCAGTTTTATTTGACTTGCTGACTACAAGTAATTAATTTTAATCATTAATTCTAAGTCAAGACAGTTGGTGTTGAAGGAATTCACAACGGGAACTTGGATCAACCAGAGAAATTTTTATAACGCTGCAAAAAAAAATATCTTTTGTTCCAGTGACTGAACATGCTGCTAATATGTACATTGGTTCAGTCTCAGGAATGTGTACTAATATTTAGCGATAATAAATGGTAGAATTCTTTATAGTTGTACTGCTTGGTTTCTTTGAAACTTTGTGGTGTTTCACTGTTAAATTAAAAAGTTATCGGGTAGTCCACCAAAATGTCTTTATCTCTTTTTAAACAGTTAAAAGTTTAATGTGAATACAACCCTTCTTTAGTAATTTGTTAATAACTGTGCAAAACAATAATTAAAAATTGTCTGCATTTTCTCTTGTATAGGCAGGTGCACATTTTATGTTCATGTGCGTATGAAGGGAGACTTGGGTATAGTTTATTTTGCCAATAAAATAGAGGAAGAGGAATTGCACTAGAAGTTTATAAATTTATATCTTTTGCTTTGTATCTTTGACCAATAACTGTGGCTGATAACCTCACCTCTAATATCCTAGAAACAGAGAAGATACTTAACTTTAACTGACGTTCTAAAAATAATTTTCATCAAATCCTTGGGAAAACAGCTCATTTAATTGCAGGGGTTTATTACAGGAAGAATATGGATAAAGTAGGTCCAGACTTGGTTTTAGTTATTTGCATTAAAATCTGTCCCCACTTCCTCTATTATTGAAACACGGAAACTGTATTTCTGGCAGTGCAAGTAGTAATAGGAAACAAATTTCAGATAATATGTATGTTTTATTGGAAAGTGTTATTACAGACTATGTAATTTCAAAGATAAGCAGATTTTGAAAGCATCAAAGAAGAAAAGTGCCAGTATTTTATATTTCATTTTAATTGCAACTTTCATTGTTTTGTTAATGCTTTTACAGCATTTTTGGGGGATTTTGTGCAAAAGTGCAAAGATTTGTTTTATTAAAGCCAAAGGGTTTTTCTCATGTAAATGTGCATTTTTACACACTCCATGTAGTCCTTATGTTGCTTTAAACAATGTAAAGCTATGCATTTACAGCAGTTCATAAATGTGCCATTCTGTATAGCTATAACAATCATCATAGGGAAAAACTTTTAATTTCTGGTTTGGGATTTATTTGGTTTTTTTACATAACCTCAAGTTATAGTCCTTAAATCATATTTGAGCATGAAAACAAAACTCTAGTGTAGCCATACATGGTTTTGTCTAATTCTCCCTTCAAATATTTATGTAGATGATAAAAAAAACCCATAGGTTAGCTGGCTTGACAAAATATTACTAGTATAAAATAACAATATCAAATAGTAGAATTAATGGAATGATATTAAAAAGTGACTAATTTTTTTCCTAACATATTCCTGTTTTAAGAAATACTGGTATTTCTACCTATTATTTTTTAAATAGAGTAGGAACTGCATTACCGTAATTCAGTCTTAGCAAAACAGTATCTTTAGAACCTGTGTAAAGCCTACAACAAGTATAAACAGGCCTTGCCCTCTGAAAGGATGACACAAAATGAAAGGATGACACAAAATCTATGTGGATTTGTCCTGTCATATTCAAACGATGAGAGAATTGGGCTAACACTTCTGCTTCTGGGGAGAGGAAGAGTCTGTGCCACCCAAACTGTAACTTACCTCTTCCTCCTTAAATCATTTTAGTCCTAACGTTGTTGCTGTGAACCCCTGACAGCAGAACACCTACCTGCTACCTATAGTAGTTTTTGAGATTTTTGAGGCAACAGTAAATATATATATATACACGTACTGCAAACTGACTGGCTTACCTAGTCAGGATTCCAGTGGGCAGGATTTGTAAGTGTCATGAACTGCGCTAATGCTGATGAAATGTTTTGCTCATTGTATTTACTTCTAGCTAGCAGCGCTATAGTTAGTGCTTTTAGGCTCTAGAAGTGTTGTCGTAAAGCTTACGATTCAAACAGCAACCTTAAAAGTGATGAAGTAAAACTCCTATTGACTCATGTATTCAGTCCTGTAGAATGAATGATTTTCCATAACAAATCATTTAAATAAAATACTTGGAGAATTAATTCAGAAAGGCAATTACTGTTCTATTTTATATCTTTGTCTAAATTATATAGTATTCCATAAACATGATGTGTACATGATACTTATTTCGCGTATTTATATTGATGTTTAATGAAATTTAAGTTGTAGTTTGTTTGTGTTTCTTTTTATAGCTCAGTTCCAAGAAACAAAAATCCATTCCAGGAGGTAAGTCACGTAGAAATTATTTTTCAATGTTCATGTGGTTAAAAAAAAAAAAATATCCTGAAGTACCAGTCATTTTTGATGAACATGATTAAGAAAATGAGAAGTCTTGCTTGCAAAAACCACTTAGACTAATTATATCTAGTGTTAATTATAATTAGCTGTTATTCTGAAGAAGTCTTTTCATCTTCAAAGGACTATGTAAGCATTAATACTGGGGGGGGAAAATCTAGAAAATTCTTCTAGAGGTAATTACATGGATTTATTAATATCATAATTGGGTACTCAGCAATTTAAAACCCCTATTTTTATACCAGATCTTTAGAATGCTCTCTAGATTTAATCCTTTGTCCGACCTTAAGCAGCAGTGTTGACCACTGATTTAAGTGATAGTATTTTAAACAGTCTCTGCAATTAAAGGAAAAAAGCAAAACAACAAATGTTGTCATTTTATACAACTGCCAGTAACTTTCAGTATTTTTCAACACAAATATCTGCAAATAGTATAAGTCTTACTTATCTGGTCTTACTACCAAGTTTCATAAGTAAAATCTTTGCCTTGGCAATATACAGATGTCTCAGATTTCTCTTGAAATGTTCCAGTTATCCTCCTGAACAAAAGAAATACCATGTGGTGTCATATATACGGCTAGCAGATGGTCATAGCAAAAATGTCACTAGTTACATAAAGTCTATATAAAATTCCTATAGTGTAGTCAAACTATTTCGGATAGTGAATGTTAACAAAAATGATGCAACTATTAAGTCTCCTTTTTCTATTCATTAATTGTTCTCTTTTAAACATAGCCCAGAAAATACTGATGGCCTTTACCTGTAATATTATAGATTATTACTAGTAGTAAGTGGGAGGGGGAAAAATAATGAAAAAGTGTATTCCTTTGTAACAGAAGTATTTTATTTGTGTCCCAAATTAATTCTTAAGCATCCATGGAAATATTTTAACTGTTCTTACGGACACTGGAGACAGCCCTGCACAAAAAAGTAACATGTTGAAACTACATATGTTTCAAATATTTCTTACTAGAAGATAGTGACATGTTAAAAGCTCTCAGCTTGCTATTCTGCATCCTACTAAAACTCTTCTATTATCTTCTTTCAGGTAGGAAGCTAGTGGTTCTGTATCCAGTTCTTATTAGACTGCAGTGTGATTAGGATGAGTTTTGCTGTAGGTTTAATGATTTGGTATATACTCTACTACTGAAATACTAAGAATTTGAATGCATACTCTGATTGTGTGTGTGTTGCCTTTTAGGCGATAGTATTTGTAGTTGGAGGAGGCAACTATATTGAATATCAAAATCTTATTGACTACATAAAGGTATGTGCACTTCTGTTGGTTGTAGTCTATAACTTACTGATAGAAACCAGTTCTAGCAGGTTTTCTGCAACATTTAGTATTTAGAAGATTAAGTCTATGAAATTAGCCTTAACATCCTTGTTATATACAGAGTCTAGGAAAAAAGTATGTAAGAAATCAGTAGAAAATTTGGGTTATTAATTTAGACCAACAAAGAGTTACTGTTTCTGGTATTTTTGCTCATGTTGCACTTTTGAATTGAGTAAATAAACTGCATTCTACTTCATTTTGTCTTCGTACACACTAACGTGGTTGAAAACTGTCAGCAGATGTAGCTAACAATCTGTCTTCTGGACTGATACATCAAACGCTGTCAGTTTGGCTGTTCGTATTGTTTTCGAGTCCTGTTTAGTGGTTTGGGGGGGGGGGGGGGGGGTGTGTTTGGTGGTGGGGGGAGGGGGGCGGTGTCCAAACTAGTTTTCGTTTGCTGTTGTTAAATAAAGCAGCTGTGGTGTATCATAGTATTGAAGGTAAGGAACTGCTCAGAATTCTCTAGTTTTCATCAATCTTGCAAAAGAGCTACTACAGTGCTTTTTTGTACGCAACTTTGCAATATGAAAACAGTTCAAAACAAGGCCTACATACTGTTGTATCTTACTTTATAACAATCTTACTTGAGCATAATGTCTGTTGTTTCAGAAGCCAACATAATGCAAATATTATGCTATCTGTCAAAGCAAAGATCAGATTGGCATTAATAAGCATTTATTATTTACCCACATTTAGAAGTTTTCTCTAACGAATTAATGGAAGCTCATTTTTATGATGACAAGTTAAACCCTTGGCACTTCATACTAAGTGGCAGGAAGCTGAAGTTTCTGAGGAATGAGGGCAAGCAGGAGGTCATTTGGTAGACAGATGGAGACAATGGAGGAAACTGAAAACTACAGCAATGGTAATGTTAGATCTTACAGAGAGTCAGAAGTTGGACATAGTTTTTCTTCTTCTGGAACCTGTGGACAGAGGTTTCTTCATCATCAGTTGTCACAGCTGGAGGGGGCTGTATGTTTCTCCAGTCAGACTGCGTACTTGGTCAGTGGGCCTCCCAAGGGGGAGGACTCCCTCACCTTTACTGCACTTAGCCATTTGCTCTTGAAAAAACAAGAAAGGTTAAGAAAGCCTTTAATTCCACCTCCCACCCCCCAGAGACTTGTCTGCCTCTCCCAGGTGACTCTTACACGCTTATCCAATAAAATTTGCTTTTCCATGTGGTACACTTCCAGCATCTGTTGTTTCAACAGATGTAGCTTATTAATTATTCTAATATTCAATCAGTCTTCCTCCAGAATAAAAAAGAGAAAAATCAACAGCTCTGTTCTTGCAAGCAGATACCACAAAGATTTTATTCACTGCTTTATTTTTCTAAGCACTATCCGTTTTGTCAGTTTGCCTCTGAAAGCACAGAGAAAGTATTTTAAAACTTTTTAAAACAGGAAGCAACGTTCATTCAGCTTTGACATTCTGGGGTTTTTGTAGGAGAATTAAGAGGAACCCTCAAATCCAATTATTTGCAGTTCTGTGCTAGAACAGACTATCTCACATCATCAAAAAGCAAATATTTATAATGTCAGTAAGGCAGATTATGCCTTAAATATATTGGCCAAGTTCAGTTCAACGTGCTGGAAGTGTGTCATCAAAACTGCAAGCCATAGGAACCTCCAGGAGCAGACTAATATGCTGTTTGGTACAAAAGAATTTAGCAAGTCCTTTAATTTCCTTTTGTAGATGGTTAGAAAGGTACTGCTTGATAACCTGTTCCAATCTACATGTGATAGATATTATCATTTATCACAAGAAATTTAAATCCAGCATAGTTTTTCAGTCATTAAAAGACACTGGACTTGGCAGAGTACTAAGGTTATATTTTTTTTAGCTGTTAAGCAGTTTTGACTTGGCTCCAATAATTATTTGGAGATACAGCTCTTTGTTTGAATGGACTAAATAATTACTTTAAATAAAAGCATACACATTTTAAAAATTACACTTTTAGAAGAATATATATAACAGACTGGAAGCATACATTAATGAGTTTTAGAACTGCCTGAAAGGCAACATTTCACAATTATTTGTATAGTTTAAATTTTTTTTTTTGGTACTAGGCAGAAACAAATGCTATTCAGTCATACTACTGAACATGGAATCTGTCAAAATACCAGTTTAGATCAAAACCAGACCTGTTTGGGCATCAAGATTAAAAAAACTGGCCTGAAACATGGGGAGATGCAAGCTCAAGATCCTGCTCAGCAACAAGAATAGCTTATTACTGCAAACCACTCAAAATTAGTAAAAATGAGGACTTAAACCAAGATTACCATCTCCCCAATTAGCGTGTAACCACCAGCTAAGGACTGTTAGAATCTGCTTCTGTTACTTTCTGCCGAAACGGCACAATTGGTAATATATATGAAACAAAATCATTTTGTCAAGGCCTATGTTCCTATTTTGCTCTTTAATAAGTAAGTTTTACCTAACCAATATGCGAAAATGCAAAATAATTTAACAGTGAAACAGATTTCTCAAGCCTGTGCTTGAATTTTGATGAACCATGGGATTATTAGCCCAACCCTGGAAATAAACTCGCTCTGAAACTATGTGTTACTTAAACTAATTTTCACTTCTAAAATGCTAACATAGTAAGGCTACCAAAGTGCTATCAAGCAAACGCTGTTAAACTGCAAACTAGGTTTACTATGCCTCCGATGGAAATCAACATAACATTTTGTTTCAGAATCCCTTTACAAAAAAAGTGCTGGTTTTAACATCGTCGTCATGTGAAAATGAATTGCAGATTGAAGTTTTCAGGCTCTAACACAAGAGAAACAGTAAATATGTTGTTACTGTTCTTAGCGTAGTGCCCAGTTATTTTAGGGGATAGGGTTTGCTCAAGTAAGGTAGTTAGCTTCCCCAAGCCATTCATAGATATATCAGAGAACTTAGCATTCTATTGAGTTTAAATGTGTAAAATGCCCCATTTTTTTCCACCTTCTTTCTGCCTCTGGTCTCCCATTTTCCACTTCAGTTTAATTAACAGGTTTTTTCCTCTGGTGGAACAACTATTCTTTTTCCAGCCGAAAGTGTAAGACTTCAACATCATCAAGATTTTTTGTTTTGGTATACAATTAGTTTAAGCCACTTCCACTGCTCTGTTAAACACTTGATTTCTTCCTGTCTTGTCTTTTTTTAGGGTAAACAAGGCAAACATGTCCTGTATGGCTGCAGTGAACTTTTTAATGCTACACAGTTTATCAAACAGGTAGGTACCTTTGATATTCTCTGCAATATTTATTACTTCTGTAACTGTGTGTTGACTGACCTACATCTTTTACAAAAAACCAAACTGATTTGTGAAAGATTAATACATCATCTTGTTATCTATTTTCACTTGATGGAAATGGGGGTTTGGAGTCATTATTTTAAATTCACTTTTGAAGGCCTGTATTGTCAATGTGAGTTCACAGGTAATGCAGGTGAACAAGGTCATAATAATTGCCTTAACATAAATCCTAATGAAAAAAAAGACTCAGTTCTTGGTACTTCCACAAATTGCATGTCTTTCTAGGCTGTTACAGTTACTTTTAAAAGTTAAAACCTGTTATTCAACCGTGATCTTTAAACCTTTGTCCCAGATTTTGCTATTTATAAATACTGGCCTAGTGTGAGCTAGATGTTGTCCATATCTATACTAAAATCAGTCTTTTAGTGCTGTTAAAAATATTATCACCACCATTACTTCTGTATGCCTCATTCCAATACAAATGCAAAATAAAAATTACTCACAGTGGTCAGCAAATAGCAGCCCTTCAGTAGCTGTCACCACCTATGGTTTTACTTCTTACTAAAATGAGAATTGTTATTCAAAACTATATTTTAAAGAACTAAATTAATTCAAATGGTACAACGGACAAACGGTACTTGTCAGCTTACAACTCTTCAGTCAGCTTAATTAACTTTTTTGTTGACTTGACTGTGTACGCTGTACCTTTACCTCCGAGATTTAGTCAAAGCTTAAGATTTGAAGCTCAGATCCTCTCCTGTGAGGGTATGCATTAAATATTCTATTACCAGCATACTTCTGGTTGTAAGAGACAAACAAAGTTTATAGGACAGAAATACTTACTGTATGAACTGGGTATTAGTTTGACTGAAAGAAGAAGATTAGCAACCTAATGGTTTTCTGTCTCTCCATGTTTAGCTGTCCCAACTTGGCCAGAAATGAGACTGAAACACCATTACCTGGATGACAACGTGACAACAGAGAATTGTTATAACATTCAGATATCTTCATATCTATAATTTTGTCATTATATTAAAACTTAAACCCATTTCACTAGTATGATAACTTTTAAAAAAAGATCTGTAATTAATACGGTGTATATCAACATTTCGGAAATAAACCTTAAAACCTGCTATATTTTTGGTGGGGGTCAGTTTCACATTATTACATTCTAAATGCAGTATTAGCTACAGTATATGACAGAGCTGGCTGAAAAGCATAGCGTTTTCAAGTTCTTTTATATAGTTTCCATTACAGTAAACAAAGCAATAGCTTGAAGAAAAGGTCAAGTCTGTCTCTAGGAGATGTGTTCTTCTTGAAAGCCAGACTATCTTTATTTAACAAAATTGAAAAGGACAGAACTGCCTTTTAGGACCACAGACAAACAGCCTTAGTGCAAAAGAACTATTACTTCTAGTTCTTACCCTTTTATTTTACCAAAGTCATTACACTCGTACTTAGATTTGTGCAATCCTTGCTTGATGGTCCAAAGATGTACTGGAAGTACACGTACTTCAGTACAAGTTTCTGATACAGTAATTTAGCTTTTCTCTTAAGGTTAAGAGAAAATTGCTTGCCTACACAGTCAGAGTTTCAAACTGTAAAACTGTGAAACCTTTAATAATTTTCTTCTGCACTTTTTATTGTAACTGCTTTGACTGTTACGTTTGGGAAGAAACAAAGTCATACTCACAGAACAGCGCTTAACTGTTTTATAAGCACATATTTAAAATACAGTTTTTAACAATTGCATTAGGTAGGGGCAGTTTAGTAGTTCAAAGAGTCTCATGATATAGTTAAGTTTTGCCAGTAATGATAGCTGTGGAGAGCGCATACGGGAATTGAAAGAAGGTAACAAAATTTCTCTATGGATGTAGGTCTCTGCCTAGAAATGTCCCTTCTGGAAACAGCACTGCTACTGGTAAAGCAATAATATGTCTTCAAAATGAGGCCCAACATACTCAAGAAGTGAAAACACTTGTTGTGGGTTTATTAACAAACTGAGAGATTGTAAGAATTACTGGCTTACTGTGAATTTTTCAGCAGTGTTTTTTGCACTATTCTTCAATGTTGAATGTTAATTTTTGCTCTAAATTTTCTCTAAAAAATACTTTTTCCTCAGCTAGATTTTTTTCAGAACATCTATACAAGAAATGCAGTTGATCTGTTCCTTAAAAGTATCACAATAAAAATATGCATAGTCTAGACCATGTTATCAAAATTAATGTTTTTTCATTATCTCAGCTGAGTGTTGTAAGCTACTCCACACTATTATTATAAACTTTTAACTTTGCCAATTCAATAAACATATTTATTGTGGTGTTAATTATAGTTGTTGTATGTGAGCACTCTCCCACACTTCAGTCAGCAAGGAATTGCTGTGTCAAATGCAGTTTGTTATTCTAATTCCCTATATATACTATATTAGTAAAAACAAGGTCAAAGTGCATTTGGAAAAGAAAATGACAGTTAAGGTGTTTATTGCTTCCCATGAGAGTTCCTTCCAGGAGTTCAAAGTAATCCATCCCCAAGAAAAGTGTGCTTCCTACACAAAGAATTTCAAACCTCACAGCTGACAAGCAACTTCTGAAAAATCTGCTGACTTTTTGTCCAGGTCTTGTAGCAGCCTGTGATACAATGGACCCTGCCCATTTAAACCAGGAGCACTCCTAAATCACAGCTTACAGAATTTACTGTTTCAGTAAACTATGTGAAGACAGCAGAAATTACTTTGGTGGCTGTGTTCAAAAACTTAGTTGGCAGTCTTCACACTGCCTCTGGAGACAGGTTTCATTTGTGCCCAGCTGTATAGCTGGATCCTCAGGACTGTTGCGTGAACATGCACTGGTCAATTCAGGTTTTGCTTTTTTTTTTTTTTTTTAAAAAAAAAAAATTTAGTACTTCAAACATTCTTCTTCCTTTCCAAACTAGTTTTCTGGTTTTGTTGTGTTAGTAGTCCTAAAGCTCTCTGTTACCATGAAAATCTCAGATTTACCACTCTGTCTCTGTAGCAGCGTATTCATCATGCTTCTTCCCTTCTGACACAGCCTGAGTTACGGCGGGCTGGTTTTTGTTACGTGGCCCTCTTCCCTGAAGACCTCTTGTGGAATTAGGAATGTAGAAGGTTGTACAAAAAGTCTCCATGGTTAATCTAGAGACAGTGTCAAAAGTAAGCTGGCTCTTTGGCAAGTTTGTTCAATTTATAGCCAGTCACTATGCCCTTCACATCCTCAAAGGCCTGTGCTTAAAGGAGGGGTGATGCCTGGCTCAGCGAGTCTTTTAAGTAAAATACTACCAGCAGCATTCACGTTGCTAATAAATGTTTTAGGTGGCTGCATGGAGGACCAGGAAGTTCAGGAACTTTTGTAGCCTCCTCTTTGTTAGTAAACCTCAGGCAGGGCTGGCTGGCGGGGCAGCGCCGATGGCAGCACCGGCCTCCGGCACAGCAGCTCCAGCTTCCACGTCTCAGGACCAGCAATTCTTCATTGGGATCTGCCTTCCACTTTAGGTAAGTAAAAGCAGCACAAAGCTGAGTTTCGAGTGCTGTACTTGTTCTCAGGAATAAAATAAGCAGTCTGGTCTTCAGCTATGGAAAACTGGCACATCTGTCTTTCGGGAAGTATAGACAAATCTTACAAACAGTTGCAAATGCTTGTCACTTAAGAATTAATTCATAGTTTGAAACGCTAGCCCTTTGCTTGCTTTCTTGTTTTAATTTGAAGGGTTTTAGAATATTTAGATGGCTATTTTGTGAATAAATGATGAATTTAGTGCCTTTGTTTTTCAGAATTAGATGTTTTTAAAAAAGAAAAATAACAATAAAAAAGGAAACAATCGGAATGAGGATGAGAAACCTCTGAAGACCATCACTTGATTTAAATGCCCTTGCTAGTATAATGCGATCTGATACAAATCAATATTTCTTTCCTATGACAGAAGAAACTTTTGCTAAGATTGATGGTGTTTACATCAATCTGAACGGAATGTAAAATAGCAGCTTTTTCCCAAAACACATCAGTACTTCAGATAATAGGAACGCTGCTATCATTCACAGTTACAGGTCCAGCACCGCTCTGCATACTGAAGCTCCATGACTAGAGCTGAAAAAAGCGCAGCACTTATCTTTTCACTTCAATGACATAGTCCAAAATGGAACTGCTTAATGGTTAGTCCAGTGTGTTGACTGGAGCAATCCTAAGAGTAAAAGGTTTGTACGTAGGTACAGAGGATCAAACCCCAAAACTATCATAACTAAATTCTTCAGCTCTGAAATAAAAGGACTCCTGTCCCTTGTTTACTGAGAGCCAGTGGAGAGACCTACTCCCACTCTTTGGTTGGACGGTTCATTAGTTGTTACTCGTTGCTGACAGGTGGCTCTGGCTCAGAGAAAGGCAAGCTTGGTCAGTGTTCCAGTGTTACAGAAAAACTAGCCACAGTGGCAATGATTTCTCTATAACTTCAGAGATCAGAGAAAATGTTAACAGTTTTCTTGCAGTGAATCAGTAGATTATTTGACCCACTTCTCTTTTGTTTGGAAATGGTTTAGTGACCCTACCCTGTGTAGAAGTCTCAGTCATTTTCAGCAACATTCAGCTATATTCTGCTCCTTAATGTGGTCGCATGTCACTGAGACATGCAGGCCCTCCTTCAAAGGCATCCAAAATTCTGCATATTTAATCTAATGAATCATCATTTTTTTTCTAAAATTATAAACACTTAGGTAGTTCAATTGCCACAAGAATTTGAAATTCTAATTACAAACTTTGTAGCTTTCCCTTTATCTGCCAGTGTCTTTCCCCTTCTGAAAACCAAGGAGGACCAAATTTTACGTTTTTAAAACATTATATTGAACTTATCTCAGCTCCTTCTTGTAACTGCATAGGTTGGCTTTCTTGGTTTAGCAGTGATTTTTTTTTTTTTTTAATCCTGTGAAAGCAGACACATCCCCAAAAGCCTGAGGACTATCAGTCCCGAGCCCTACTTCAGTCTTGCCTTCTCATGTACATATATTCCTAATTTTTGCAATCTAAGGGGTAGATCATAGGCATAATGCTTTTAAAGAAAATTGCTTTTTAGCACCTCACATTGCCTGTCCATGCTAACTATTATTTACTGCCCCAAATTCTTACTTGCATGCTATACTTTGAAATCTTAGCTAAGTGATATAAAGGATTGATTGCACATATCTAATCCTTTAGACGTAAACTGTTGACCAAGTCTAGGACTAGGATTGGATCCAGCTGCACCTAGACTCCTCTCTGAGGAAGGAGTTCAGAAAGCAAGGGGGTCCGTTCTGAACCTCGTGACTCAACAGGAGGCTCTCCCTGACCCGGTCCTCTATGCAGTAAATAAGCAAGTGTACCTTGCCATCGAATCTTGTTAAGCCACTGTCACATTTACCATTGAACTTTGTTAACTCACTGTTTTGTATCAATAAAGTATATTTTTGCTTCTCTCTCACTTCGTCCGCGACACCCAGAGATCGTTCATCAGCCATAGGCCCTGTTCTTTCAGATATAGTTTGAACTGCTAACTCACAGGAAAAGCTGCCTACTCCTGAACCTCGTAGTCTGTCCAGCTGCAGTACTGAGGATATTTCTTTTCTTCCCAGTGAAAAACACTTTGGCTAGCCAGCCTTCCCTCACCATAACCGTGCTCTGATGAGTTCTTTGAAAGCAAACAGCATCAAGATAAGCACTACTACCCAGGGAAGGTAACTGTATAAATCTACCTTCTGCAGTTTGTATCTCCATCAGTCTGGAATCACCTTTATCGTATGAGGGATGTGTGGTAGTTTGAAGAAGAGGGAGGAAAAACAAGTAAACAACTGGAAATCCTCTAGGAGTAAGTGTGAAAGACGACAAGCACACTTGCTTTGTAGACCTTCACTGTATGCTGCAGGATTGTTCTGCAACTCTTATTGGGAAATTGTACAAGTCTCCGCTAGCCACATCACCAGCTTTCTGATGGTTCTGCAGACCTCGTTTCTCCCCAGGGACAGAATCTGGTCCGTTAACCTTGCCTTGCATAGGGCAAGAAAAAGCAGTGTTATTATCAGCCCAGGGCTCTCTGGGAAAACATTGAGTGCTCACATCTCACTCCTCGCTGGAAAAGTTGAATTTCTGCAGGCT